GCGTATCACTTTCCACGACGCTTCTAGAGCAACCGGGTCGTAAATTTTTCGTTCGTTCTACTTTCCGGCTGTTCGTGCAGGTTCGTCGAAAAATTTCGTTTCGCCAGCCGAGATTACTGTCTCGATCTTCCTTGATATATTTTCGCGCCGCGGAACTAGAACTTTCTCAAAGAAAGATTCCCGACAATAGATATATCTTCGTTTATAATCTCTCCTAGAGTACGTTGCGGAATACGTAGTATAAAGCAAGACAACGAACGAGACTTCTTTGTAACGTCAAGGCCCTCGAGGAAAGAAGGAGGACGACTTAGGAGGGTGAAACATTTACTTCACAGTGAAGCGTGAACCGTTTCGAGAACGGCGTGTCATTGTGGTAATCGTGGAACGGCTCTCGTTGCACCACGGTTTCAACGATCTCTACCGACGCCGCTTTGTAAGGATCTCTCGATTTTAAACTGTTATTTTCAACGCTGCGTTTAAGCGAAACTAGCCGATTTCCTCGTTGCTTCTCCACCGGGTGAGATGTAATAACACGGCCTAAACAGATACGATCTGTTTATTCACGGTTGTAAATAAAATCTTTGTGATAGACTCGTACATAAACTTGTTAGGTTTTTCAGAAAGGAATTTCTTTATCGTTGATTGTGATACGGATATTTTATCGCTGTTATAATAAAGGACAACGATGGAAGGTGGCCAATTTTAGAATTAAACGGGAAAGAAACATTCCTGAACAGAAATTAGACATTTTTAATCTAATGAGAATTTTATTATAGTTTTACAACCGCGTTCAGCATTTAGACTTTTATCTATTCCGATATACGTTCCAAACTTGGCTACTTTCCATCATCGTCCTTCACATTCTAAATCAAAACGCTGCAATTCATTCATTTGTACAGTAGTTACAAATATCATGTTATTGTAAAATAATCAATTTAATAAGCTGAGAATTTTGTGCAAGCCTTATTCTTATATATTGTTGAAATTTTATGTTAGTACCACTAGCCTTGTCTTCCTTTTGCAGATAGAAAGCTGCATCCTTCGCTTCCACTGTCATTCAGATGTATATATAAAATATATACATTACGATGCAAAAATATTCATTAACACATTAACAGTGAAATTACTATAAATCTTATAGATCGAAGAACTATCAAAATAAACGTTTGACAAAGTTGTATTTTAAAAAGACCGCCATAAATGAAGTGTATTTTAAAATTCGATCTTAGCGCCATCTATACAGAAACGGTGGAAACTACACGACAACTTACCGCCGATATTTTTGAGGACTCGTGACTTGTGGGGTCCCAGACACCCCAGGACGATATCAGGTCGGTATGCAAAGAGCACCATCTGTTCAGCGGGGTCCCTGACACCCCAGATACCATAATGTCGATATGCAGACTGTCACCGATGCTATGGGGTCCCTAATACACCAAAATGATATCGTGTCAGTATGCAGACCTATGTACTTACTTACATACATGAAGCTAGCCAGAAGGAATAATAAAACAAGATTATTTTTAATTTTTCTTAGTGTATTTCGTTTGTAAATCGCTTGTGATTGATTGTGAGTCTATTTCTAACGTTTGTGACAAATTAGTTCTTTTGTAATCAGCAATTTTATTTCAATCATGATGTAAGCCGAAACTTTTTAGTAATTTTTAATAATAAACAGATTCTGTGATAACTGATAACTGTAATTGATTGGAAATCGTTTGTGATTTACAAATATATCATTTTCATTGTTTGTGAGTGAATCATTTCTTAATTATTTACAAGTTTGTTTTATAATAAATACTTATAGTGCGCATGCGCTACAGATCCGGTCATACCCATCACTACCTCGAACAAGTGAGTTTCACGATTTGTTCGTTTTTAGGTCTTATATTTCGCTAAATCCGGTCGAACCCATCACTATTCCGAACAAGTGAGTTTCACAATTTGTTCGTTTTTAGGTCTTATATTTCACTAGATCCGGTCGTACCCATCACTATTCTGAACAAGTGAGTTTCACGATTTGTTCGTTTTTAGGTCTTATATTTCGCTATTTGCTTCGGGGTCCGTGACACCCCGGTGGCATAATACCGATATGCAGCATCACCGGTACATACCTCGGGGTCTCAGATACCCCGAATGCCGTAATGTCGGTAAGCAAAGAGTGTCATTGGTGCTTCGGGGTCCTTGACACCCCGCTGGCATAATACCGATATGCAGCATCACCGGTACATACCTCGGGGTCTCAGATACCCCGAATGCCGTAGTGTCGGTAAGCAAAGAGTGTCATAGGTGCTTCGGGGTCCCTGACACCCCGCTGGCATAATATCGGTATGCAGCATCACCGGTACATACCTCGGGGTCTCAGATACCCCGAATGGCGTAGTGTCGGTAAGCAAAGAGTGTCATCGGTGCTTCGGGGTCCCTGACACCCCGGATGCCAAAATGTCGGTATGCAAACAGTGTCACCGGCGCTTCGGGGTTCCTGACACCCCAAGATGATATCATGTCGGTATGTAGAGATAGTCACTGGTGCTTCGGGGTCCCTGGCACCCCGGATGGTATATTATTGGTATGCAAAGACAGTTACCGGTGTTTCGGGGTCCTTAATACCCCAAAATGATATTAGGTCGGTACGCAGAGAGCATCATTAGCGCAGAGGATCCCTAACACCTCTGGATAATATCAGGTCCGTATGAAGAGGGCGCAACCAGTATAATTTTTTTCCAGAGTTTATTTAATTTACTTCATTTATTTTTTTTTGCTTATTACATAAGCTCATCGTTGGGGAATAACATTTATGATCATATCCCTCTTCTGGGTATCAGCCGAGGACCCCATTTATTTTAATTTTCCAGTTATTTATATAATTCTATCCCTCATTATAGGCCAAGGCCATCTCAGTATCCCTTACATCCCTGCATTCCTTCCATCCCAACATACCTTACATCCCTCCGTTCCTTACATTCCTACAACCCTTAACTATAGTTTTTTTTTTTTTTTTTTTTTATTTTAACGTGGTGGAAATCTTCAGAACGACACCTACAGCCCCCCTTGGGAGGGGCTGGAAGTAGTGTGGGATTTTTACCCACTAAAACCACCACGGTCGCCTGCACTAGGGCGGTAGGAAAGGTCTTTTGACCCTCCGCCATGTGCCAAACCCTGCCGACATCGGGGGCCACGCCCGATGCCGGTACTCCTCGGGCCGCGTGCAGTGGAGACCGGGACCCCAGCTCCGGACCACTACGGAATTCCTTTACATCCCTCGTTCTTTTCATCCCTACATTCCTTACATCTCTTCATCCCTTAAATCCCTACATTATTATCATCCCTACATTCCTTACATCTCTTCATCCCTTACATCCCTACATTCTTTTCGTCCCTATATTCCTTACATCGCTTCATCCCTTACATCCCTACATTCTTTTCATCCCTATATTCCTTACATCGCTTCATCCCTTATAATAAATATATTATAAAGACTGCTTCGAGTAAAGGTAAGTAAAAGTAAGTTTTTTCGAAATTTTCGCGAAAATAGCGCCCCCTAGCAGCAAAAATTTGAACTAAAATTTCTATGTCGAATCAGCGCCCCCTGGCGGCGAAAAAAGGAACTAAATTTGTATAAAATCGCAGGCCTTATAGCCGCAAGAATATAAGTGATACAAGGATGTAAAGGGTACAGGCACGTAAGGGATGCAGGGATGTAAGGAATGCAGGGATGTAAGAGATGTTGGGATATAAAGAAGGCAGGAATGTGAGGAATGCAGAGATGTAAGGGATGTTGAGATGTGAGGAATGCAGGGATGTAAGGGATGCAGAGATGTACGGGACGATTAGATGTAAGGAATGTAGGGATGAAAAGAATGCAGGGATGTAAGGGATGAAGAGATGTAAGGAATGTCAGGATGTATGGGATAAAGAGATGTAAGGAATGGAGGGATGGAAAGAATGTATGGATGGAAAGAATGTAGTGATGAAGAGAATGTAGGGATGAAAAGAATGTTTGGATGAAAAGAACGTAGGGATGGAAAGAATGTAGGGATCGTAAGAGCGTATCGGCGCGTTACGTATAGCGGAAATCGTTTAAATTTTCTATGATTCATCTTCTATGGACAAAAGTTCTTTTAATTTTTTGGAGCAACTTTCATTATACTGAAGATCTTTTATAATAAAATAACAAAATAAATGATTTCATGTATTTTTGTATATTATATATTATTTATAAATATTGTAAACGGAGTTCCTTTTCTTTCTCTTATTCCTTCCGGCCAGCTTCATGTAGGTAGGTAAAGGCATACATATACCCTTATTTTGTTTTCAGCGTTCATTTAATTTACTGTATTTATCTTCTTAGTTTATTAAATAAATTCATTAGGAGGACGAACGTGTTGATTTTATTACTTCCGTGTGCATCCTTTACATCCCTTAGGATCGGTGAAAGTGTTAGCAGAGTTATAACGAGATTGAAAAGAAACAAATAGGCATTTATTCACAAGAGGCAGGTGTAGTTACAGTAGTTTCATTCTTGTCGCTTTTATATATATATTTATATATATATATAATATGTATATATACGTATATATATATAATAGTATTCTCACGTCCGTTATAATTATCGATCGGTTCAACTACGCGATATAAATGGGCATGAACAAATGGGAGAGGGGGGGAGTGGGTGCATACAAAGTGTTTTTTTCTCCTTTCGTACGCTCTTTCTAAAACGACACGTGGACGTCGAACATTACGAAACGCGTCGTTTATTTCTCTCCTCGTTTGTTAGAGCTTGTTCCGGTCACGAGATACGAGCAGCGAGATTCTATTTCGAAGAGAGACAAAATAAGAAAGAGAACGGAAACTTGTTGAAGAATTTCGAAAATAGAATCTCGGTGGCCTGCTCCTGACGTCGACGAAAATGTCGATCGCGCGATAATTCGAAGCCGATCGCCACGCGAACATAATCCTTCTCTTATCATCCTTTCATTTCAACTACTCGACGATAAGGATCTTTTTTTTTTTTATTTCAATCCTTGTCTCCTGTTTCTCCGTATCAACGCGACGATAATGATCGTGACAATAATTAATAATGATTAACAATGATCGACGGTGCGTGTTTTTAGTGATCGGTGTAAATAGGTAATTAACGATGAGGTCGAATTAAAACGATGACGAGAATCGTTCGCGGCGCGGTTAGCGTTCCACATTCATTAGAATTTTTTTTCTTCTTCTTCTCAATGCCGAAACATATTAGTTATTATTAAATTGCCATTAGGTACAGAGAGGTATGTACTTTTCGAAGATAGAGAGATAGAGAAAGAGAGAAAGAGAGAGACACTATAATTATCAATGAAGCATCGTGTTTGTGCAAGAACAACTCTTTCTATCAGTAGATCGCATTTTTTTTCCTTTTTTTTTTTGCTTTCATTTAGGATATTACATGTCACAGTTAAATATAGTTAGGTTTGCACTATTCTATTAGTCCAGTTACAAGTGGCTTCCCTTCTCCTTTACCCTCCTCCACCTCCTTTTCACCTCTTTCGAACCCTCTCGGGGGGGTGGGTCTCTGTTAACTCTCGCATTTCATCCGGCGACGTTTCAACACCTATATTAAAGGAGACAGTTAAGCTACGCGCAATTTTTTCTGGATGTGTGTATACGCGCGTGTGTGTATGTATGTATGCGTGTGTACATGTTCTCTCTTTCATATGCGTGTTTCGTGTACAGGGTTGAATCGTGTGTCTTGGTTTCTCGCACGACGGTGTGCAACGATGTGTCCTCGACCTCCGAACTGTTCAACCTTCACCTTTCTTTTCTTTAAGTCTCTTAATTTTCTACACGAGCGTATAATAATAATAATAATGATAATAATAATAATAATATTTACATCCACACCATATTTCGTCGTCGCGCTCTCGAGGCTGTCTCGTACCACCCTCGATCGCTCGTCCGCCCTTATACCTTTTCGGTAATATAAATTCAACAATTATATATATATATATATATTTATTCATTCATTTATTTATATTTATATTTATATTCATATTTATACTCATATATATATTATATTCATTATATATACATATATATATATATATATATGAATATCAAAGCAAGAAACTATATCAACGCCATATCGATAGCGGAAGAAACGTCGCTGGTTGGTTAATCTGTGTAAAATTTCGGGATGAGGATTCGAGTTGGGGGGTCGCAGGGGAGGCCTCGTCGCGCGACGTTTCGATCCATTATTGTTTCCTGATACGGTTCTCAAGTCCTACACTGATCCCTCTTTTCACGCGGTCAAAAATCATTATCATTACATATCGGACGCCTTCGCGGGCCAGCGATCAAAAAAGCAGTTCAAAATTCACAGGCCCGAAATGTTAATGACGAACCATGTCTTTAATTGACAACCGCTTAAAAAGAAACCACGGGACCAGTGTACTCATGTAGAGATTGAGAGTGACCAGATAAATGGAATGAATGCAAAAGCAATTGAAGTGAAAGAAAAAGAGAAAGGTCGAAGCGGCGTGAAAAATCGAAAGGAAATATCCAAAAGGATCCGATGTAGCTTATGGATCCTCGAGGAGGTTCTCTTTCGAGGTAACATTCAGCTCAATAGATGAGGCGTATTTTCTTGTTCGTTATGGTAAAAGGCGGGTGATCCTCGTAACATGTATTTATGTACAAATAATGATTCATCATCGCGGTTCTATTCTCCGTAACATCCTCTATCTAGATAATATATTTGTCACGAGAGGGATCCCTCGTTATCATGCAGTCTATGTTATCACGCATACGTTCTTCCACTCATCCTCTCTTCACGCAAGCTTTCCTCCTACCTTGCCAGCCGTCTTATTTAAACGCTACATTAGAAATATTTCTTCGTTCTGGGTCCCGCAACAACTTTGTATCATTCGCAATGACGATGGCTCCCACGACGCGATTTTCGTCGGAAGAAAACTTTTCCTTGCCGACAGTGCACGCGTTCATTTACGTTAATTATCATCTCTACTCGTCTCGTTTCGTCTTTCTAATTCCTTGGTACGTTCATCGATAGTTGTATCATTGTATATCGCTCGTAGGAGAATCCAAGGTTCTTTCAAATTAACACGTTTGTCGTGGACATAGCAGACCTCAACAGCATTCGACGCCTTAACGTTAATATTATTTTTTATTTATCGTTCCATAACGAACGTGCTAACTAGAACCGAAAGCGAAAGATGTTCGAACAAGCGAAAACACGCGGTTCGAATAAACGAGGGGTCGTATATATATCTTCGGTTAGCAGTCGTTGTAGCCGGTGAACAATACGGGTGGTGCGACGACGGTTCGCTATATCGTCAGGTATGTTAATCGCAAGGCTATCGTAGGAAAATAATCAGGAGAGATCGAGGGACGAAATATCTTCGCTTTGTTCATCTGTATACAATTCGCTGCCGTTGTTGTCGGGTTTTTGTACGCGTGGAAAACTATCCTAAAGATACCGGTAGAAAATCAATAGTAAGGAAAACGGCACACGAATGGTACACCACACGGGTGTGTCTTCTAAGCTATCGATGTTAGGCATCGCGAGCACTCGTCAACGATCCGTTCTTCAGCTTCTAAATCGTCGATGTTGAGTTTGACCGATCGAATAAACTGACTCGTGTGACGGTGCTGTGCACGTGCGAATAATGACGAATTTTGCGAGTAATATACGTGTACGCGTATGGTTGATTATTCTGTGAACACGCGTGCAAACGTCTCGGGAAAAAAAGATTTGTCGTGGCGGTGAATAAACTCTCTCTGTACGAGTCGCTGATTTCTGTTTTTCTTCCTTTTCTCACGAAACTTTATTATCGTTCATGGCGTTGCAGCGTACGACGACGATCATGATTCGTTACAACGTTAACAGAGAATGAATGTTTGAATCGTGTTTCTTTTGTGTAGGCGTTATTGCACAGCGATTGTGCGTACGACAATACGTGTATTATTTTATTGCGAGTGTCAAGATCGGTAGGTAGCTCGATTCCGATTCCGATTCCAATTCCATTCGTTTCGTTTCGGTCTTTTATTTTCCCCGTGGATATAAAGGACGGTCGCGTTTAGCACTTGTCGTGTCGTGTTATCGTTTCACAATGTGCAAGCTCTTCTATTAGTTTGCAATAAAAAATAAACTCCCTGTTACCTTCCGGTACGAGTGTGTGTGTGTGTGTGTGTGTGTGTGTGTGTGACATTTTGCGTGTAAACTAATGTTTCGTCGCGTGGGAATCTCTCTATGCGTGTCTTTCCTATACGTATAATTCACGTGTTATGTGTTTAGAAGTTCGTGTGGTCTGGTCATCCTCGTCTCGTTTTTCTCTAATCTGTACACCCGAGAATACACATGTAAGTTATACATTTAAGCTCTCTATAGCTTTGTTGTCGATCGTTTAAATCTTCGAATGCCTCGTGGATAACGCTAAGAACGCTACTTTCAGTCATTTCATCACTCACTCGTGTCAATTTCTCTCCCTTTCATTCTCCTCTTCTAGACTCCCTTTTTAAACCCAGCGAATTCACTAAATTTAGCGCGATAAATTACCATCCCGTATGTATATACAAACTCCCTCTTTTTCCTATGCTATCCCATGCTCGCAGGATATTATTCTGCCCCTAAGAAGGTTCTCCGTTTGCTCGACATCGAGTCGCGAGACGATCATCGAATCCTCCCATCGAATTTCGTGGCGTCGATCCACGAGTTTCAGTCGGTCTCCATCGCCGACGATAATATTTTTAAATCATTTTTTTTTTTCTTTTTTTTTGTCAGACACTGCGTGTAACATACATAACATCATATCGACACACGTAAGCGTAGTCCACTATAGCTGTGGTTAATTATTTATAGCACTCTGCAGAATTCACGATTCAGTCGTTAAACGTACGAATATAATTCCTGTGTCTCGCGTTCCTCCGTGCTTCCTTACTTGGCTCGAACTGCGGCGGTCGTTCGTTTTTATTTCCATTAAGGGTTGCTCTCCCAACGGGCTAACTGTATACGCCTGTTGTCCAGAGACGGCGAAAGTAGCGACCTGAGGGATGCGCTTGGCGGCGATCCGCTAAAATATTTCAAGGTCAGCGGCGATTGGAGATGTCTGTGTCTGATCACCTCTCGCTCAGCAGGCAGCGGCCACAGTTCCTGCGAAGGAACGAGCCAACTTATCAACTACAACACAGTCGTTCTACGATTCGACGAACTTTTCGTTGTTCCACGAACACGATTCCGTTTGCTTTTTAATAAATTCTCATCGCTAGTCACATTATTTTCGTACTTTAACGGCTGAGCGTGATCATTTACCTGCAGCGAGAGAGCCTCGTCTCAGGACTCACCCTGCTTATTTCTACGTCCAGTTAGTGAACCGACCAACGACTTCAGGGTTGCGCCAAGACCTTTACCGCTCGGAGTGTTCAGACTGCTGGCGTTTCTGAAGCCTTGAGGATGTGCGTCTAAGCATTTCTGGTACCTCAGCTATCAGAAAGACAAATAAAACTGGTGCTTCTTGCTCTATGCCGCCCGTATAAAGAAAATAATTACCTTGCAAGCAGCCTCGATGGTTTTGCAAAGGGCACCGCTGCTAGGCTCACAGTTGAAGACGTGTGCGATGAAGAGATCTTGCGCGGTGTGCATTATAAAAGCGCATTGCTTCACGTTGCGACCGATACCGAGGAACGACAGATAACGTACTCGACACTCGGTGATAAGTTTCTCCTCCTGCAAATTTCGTTAACCTACTTCGTAAAAGATTCTTTTATTACAAAATTCTATACATTCCCTGATAGACTTACGTTTGGTGTAAGGATTGAAATCATACTAGGAGCGACAGCAACGTTTACGTTTCGCCATTGATTGATAGGAGTATTAGCTACGATATGATCTATCGCGTCGTTCAACACCTCCATTCCAGTCGCCTGTGTAACTTGCATGGATCCAAGATATTGTGCTCGTAACACCTTTTTCGGTTCTTCCATCGGCGTTGGGAAAGATTGTGCTGAAATTAGATGAATATTTTCAGGGTGTTCTTTTAGAAGAGAAATGGACATTGTCCTGGGATAAGATGAACATTTTACCATTATTGTTGTCCATGGTAATTCTAAAAATCTTTCTCGATACTCACTGACTAGTGCTTGCCCGTTTCTATGAAAGCGTCGATGCTCCGTGGGCAGATTAGTGGGTCTCGTTGCCAGGCTCGTTCTTCCATTAATGTCGACCGGTTTCGCGAGGTTCTGATGCTGCGATCGTTCGATCATGATCTTCTTGCAAATGTCGCGAAGCGTGTTAGCGATCGTGCGAGCCGGTATGTCGCAACGGAACACGTGGCACATGTGCTTTCGCGTCGATCGATCTCTTGCCACGTAAGCAAAGTCCCTGATAAAGAAATTCAATTAACGTGTTTGCCAAACATTATAAGAGAGAATGAATATTGTAGCTTTATACTGGTCGTTACCTTTCGCTGTATGTACACGGGACAACCAGCGAGGAGGGCCATGAAAAGAATTGCAAACGCGTTATTAAAGCGGTTCAATCTTGTCAGAGTGTGCATTAAAAATTCAACGATCCACTTACCGGCAGTGGTCTCTGCCAACACCCCACACCCTGACCGTGTGAATCGGTTGTGTGTTGAGCACGGTTAGGTTCTCCGGATCTATCAGCTTCAGAGCACCTTCGTCTAAATCCATGAACAAGTCTTTGCCCTGGAAAATTTCAAATTCCACGTAAGCTGACCTATCATTTTTGTGAAAAATTGTTTATAGAATCGATACTAACGTCACCCCATCGACCAACGACGTCTAGAAGATCATTTCTACCGAGAGACAAGTCGACGATACATTTGTTCACCGCTTTGCTGCTTCTTTCCGGTGTCAAATCTTCCTCAGCGATCTCTGTCCATCCGAGAGAGCGTACAGCAAATCGGATGGGCTTGTCTCTGCCCTCGGAATCTGCTCGTGCTGGGTAGCTCCTTCGTCTGAAACATTAAACGTAAAGCATCGTATATGCAGGATAAAAGGATCAATTTAAACCACTTGAAGTATCTTACTTGAGAGCTAGTTCCACTTTTCTTTTGTTCTCTAGTTCCTGATCCAAAGCGGAGCTCGTGTTGCTGCGTGTCACTGTGTTCACCATACCACTCAGAGTGTGGAAATTATTTATCTGTAATGGTAATGAAAGAAGCATAACGATATTCAATTAGAATAATATACTTCGAAGAATTTTACTCACGCTATCGTTGTCTTTGATAAGACTCCGGCGAGACTCCCTCTTGGAGTGCGGGGGTGCCTCGGGTGGCTCCCTTTGAATATTACCGCTTTTTACGTGCCAGTAATAAGGACCATTCTCGTCTGAACAAAAAAGGAACATTCGATCGTTTGTTTAATCGCAGTAACAGGGAGAGAAGAAGGCGTTTCATCTCGGGATCGTTTATCAGACTCGTCAGTGACGTTGTCGACAGACGATCCCTGTCCCAGATCCTTGCATGCCGGGCGACCGCCAGCGAGAACACCGTCAATCTCGCCGCCACCTAGCGGTCCCCGACCCGAACCAAAGGCATCCGAGGAGACGAAACCCTCTCCCCCTCTACTAGTGTATAATAAATAACTTATCGATTTCCATCGTACAATTGATCGGCTGGCGAAATCCTCGATACCCACCCTCGTGTTTTTGCCATCCGGGCGGTAGATTCTCATCTTTATCCTCGCACTCGTTGGCATCCACCTCCGATGGTTTCTCCTGGGCATTGTTCTGCAGAGTGGCATTGTTCTTTTGATCCTTCGGTTGCCTTCGTTTCACGGGAACCGCGTACAGTTCGCTGTTCAGTCCACCCTCGACGTGGGGTACGCCACCCATTTCTGTCGTTTCGTTATCCGGTTTCTCGCAGTAACTGTAATATCCAGGATGCGGGGTTATCTCTAGTACCATTTGCTTTGTAGTAGATAATAATCAGTTTCTTTGCCAAAAGAATCACACGAACATCGTTAACCCTTCTTTGAATTATGTATGGAGCCCACGCTGGTCTTTCAACATTTTTAATTAAGCATGCCTTGTTTAGAGAATCCGAAGAAAGGTTAATAAATTGTAAAGCCACGAAATCTACTTCAAGCCATTCTACCCTGATGTTTCTTCACAAGATCGGATCAGTTTTGCAAATGATCCACGATCGATCGCAACATCGCCTAAATATCATCGGTCGAATAGCATTCTCGTTGCAGATGGATCATGGTCGTTAACATTTACTTATCGTCTTCGACGCGTACAGCCTGACGAATCGATTGCCGCGTAATTGGCCATTGGCCGGCTCGTAAAGTTTTATCGATCGCGTGGCTAACATCGACAGAGACAAATCGCGTTGTCGATTCGATTGCGCGTCATCAGGACTTACCGTTGTCGGCCCATCCTTTCATACTGGATAATGACCGTCAAAGTATAAAATATATATCAAAATTTTGTCACGGGTCAAAGTGATCCTGTATCTAACTATCGCATGAAAATTTCACGGATTAAAAATACGGGGACAAAGAATCGCCTATGAAAGCTCACGATAACAGCCGTCGAATAAATCGGATATGAAAACGCGATTAGCGATTGTACAATTTGGAGCAATAGCAGCAGCAACAACAACAACATTAATAATAACAACAACAACAACAACATTACACAAACAGTGAAGCAAGAATCGTTTCGATAAATGGGTGCAGCGATCTAGGGGAGAGGGTACGACGAGGCGCTATCGTACGTACTTTCTCGAACCGGATAGATTTTCAGCGTCGATCGTGTCCGAAGTGGATCCTGACTGAAGGGGAGGCAGAATCGAAGAAGACGACGGCGAAGATCGAGGATTTCCGTTGAGGGTGTCGTCGACGAGAGCGGACTCCGCAACACCCTCGCTGCCGTACCTGAATCACCACGTTGCCGAATGTACAATGGGTTCAATCATCGATGATCAAGTTAATCGTGCTGACCAATCATTAGACAGTAGGTACATGTTATAATTCACACCATTGATAAGAGGAATTATTATTCTACAAAGGGTTGTAAGAAAAGGTTCAGGATTTCATGTTTTGGAGTTACGAAAAGAGGAGAGGAAAAAATTCTTCTCTTTTTACAATCGAGCACGATTTGCTCAATTAACACGTCGACTGCCACTGCGAATTAAATATATAATTATTAATTATTTGGTTATAGAAAAATGACCAATCTACTCCGATGACGATCAACGCGTTAATTAAATGACACATGTATCGTAATAGAAATTTTTTTGCATACGATTGCGAGAATAACTAGTTCCAGAAGCGATCTGGGATTAAAAGTTGCTCGTTTCGAACACGAAGAAGACGTCGAAGAAGACCAGCTCGAACGATGCTCAAGAGAGGCGAGCGGCGTTAGTCAGCAAACCGCTCGGCTAATCCCTTAATTACTTCGACATGGTTAGCGACCCTGTACTAACCGCGTCGGTGCCTGGCTCCGTTCCCTGATCGTTAATTAAAATGGCACTTCGTTGCACCCGTGCAATTTCTGCGGTGTATGCTGCCATAGTCGCGACGGTCAGTTAACTTCGCCTTTGAACGTACTTGATCCTCAGAAAATTTATAATACCGGTGTCGGTTTCCTCGGTGGCTGTGCTGCAGTTTCTCGTCGCTTTGTGCCGCGTCTCTTTATAAATTATGTTAAGGATCCGTTTGTAAGGTCGGCGACGCACGGCTCTTCGGCTTCGAGATATGGGACTTGAGATATCAAACAATCTTAATTTGCGAAATTGGAAGAAATAAGGACTTGGAAATTTTTTCCTTAGTCAAAGCGCTCCTCTTTATTATACTTCTTTATATGTAAATATCAAGGATCCGTCCGGAAGGTCGGCGACGTACGGAGATTAGGCTTTACGCTCTGGGACTTGGTATTTTCAGATCTTGTATCCGGAGTTATTAATTCACCACGTATGAAGATACAAAAAGAAAAAAGAGAAAAAAGAGATTATTCTTTTAACAGCCTGAAACTCGATCCTTTATTCGGGCTCGGTGCTTGCCTTTGAATGACACTTATCCCTCTTTTCCCAGCTAAACTATGTTTTCAGATGACGCGAACTGTCATAGGGCTTCCTCGGCTAGATATTAAATGTCCCACGGTGTGGACTAGAGGGATGACACATCAAGATGATCATAAATGATAATTAGGTAAAATTCCAAATTTCCAAATTTCTACCCACGTTAATCGCTAAAATCATTATTCTCTCCACTCTAATTCGTCATAAAAATGTTAGCACGTCGCGAAATCTCGTTTCAGTTCGCATTGACTCGCGTGCCTTGTAAAGAGGCTCTTTCTCCCCGAGTAGCGACGTTTAATCTCGTCTGTTTTCATTTTGCAAGAAAGACTTCTTTAGAATGACGCGGTTGGAACAGCGGAGAGGAGAAGAAGAAACGAGAAAAAAGGAGAAGAAACGCGTCGGAGAAGGTGGTAGGTTTCGCGCGGTCCAGTGGCGGGGGCTTAATAACACCGTTTTAACCAGGTATGTAGGTTAGCAAAGGCACTAGTCGAACCTTGGAAATTCGCCAGAAGTTGGCAGCGGGAAGGTATTGTGCATAAATGCGGTCGGACCTCGGATGGCGATCGATTAAATCGAATACCGGATCGCGGCAATTCGCTATTGATTATATCGTCGATGTGACAGCTTTCGTGGTGTTCGATTGTCCGTTTGTACGATTGTCGTTATATTGGTTGATTCCTCGAAATAAACGACCATTTTGCTACTCGAATTCGTTATTGTTCCAAATACTCCGCTCGGATGAGAAATCGGCTAACGAGATGACAAAGGGGTAACTGAAGCACCTATTCTGTTCCTTGAAAATGACAAACACTGCATAGTACAATAGGATTTTTTTATTAGCCAAATTTTTATTTTTGAACGATATTTCCTCGAACGATGTAACTGGTCGCCAACTTCCACGCTACGTTTCACGCGTTCAGATTCTATTCCGAGTCTCTTGTTATGTTCTCGAGGCGTGGCTGCTCGAGTGCGAGTCACGGAAATGCGGTTCGCGGAGTTCAAGTGGTACTGGGAACATTGTGTGCCTTGCGAGAGCGTCAATATTTAGTTTCCTTTTCCTTCGAGCTGGCAAAAGTTCTTTCCACCCCGGTGTTCCTCCGCGGCGCGGATTCTCTTCTGAAAGCTCCGTACTGGAAAGCTGCGAACTCCACGCGGGATGTTATTTTTTCAAGCAAGAAAAATAACGCGATAGGAGAGAATCGTTTGACAGTTATTGTGTGAAACGACGCGATCCCCAGGCCCAATAATATTGTATCTCTTCTGACAATTTTTTCGACAAAGTAAACATTGAAATTCAGCGTCGAAGATATTTAGCGGAAGGGTGAAACTGCTAATGATAGGAATATCTTGACACGCAGCCTCAAAGGGTTTAATTGCACGCGTAAGTACGTTCGTTACCCCGTAAACGGAAATTTCAGAGACGAGAGATTTGTGCTACCAATCGCGAGCCTAGTGATCAAAGCGAGAGTCAGAGACACGTTAAGGGACCGGCTCGACGATCGATTAGCTGGTCTATTTGCTTTGCTCGCGATCACCCCCAAGATACTCTCTAACAACCCAGCAAACCGTTTGCAAATGGGTGAACAACCGGTGGAGGGGCGGCTGATTAAAATTCTTACACTGCCTATAAAATGCGTACACTGATCTCCATTTTTGCGAGAGATCATAGTTAATAAGTAACTAAAATCAGCTGTCGCCGGCTAGTAATTGTATCCCAGCCGATATAAGGACGCACGGCGTCGTCGTAACTTTCAGTGAAGTATAATTAAACCCAATTAGGTCGTAAGGTGAGCAACTTCTGACGCACCTGGCTAAACCGTAAATTACACCCGCAACTTCTCTGCCTACCGCAACCATAATTGCGGAAATGCATAGTTTCCGTTAGACTGGCCGGATATCGACGACGATTAAACATTTCAGAGAGGAAAATTATACCACCTCTCAATTAGACTTTGTAGTTTAATTACCATCGGCGGTCGATCGTTCGTCGATTCCTTGATCATAGTCGAAGGAAAGTAATCGGTTACGTTAGAAGGTAGAAAATCGTGGGTGTAAACGAAGCGACGAGGTGGTTCGCATTCCGGTGTCGCGGGGCTACAGATATGGAGGAAGGAGCGAAGGGTGGCGCGAGTAAAGTGGAAAAGGACGATGTAAGAAGAAAGAATCGTACATGAACGAAAGACCGCGCGTACGTGGGTGTTCGTACGAAGTACAGTAGAGTCGGGGGTGCTCTTCTCCTAGCTCGATCAATACACACTACCAGCAACCCCTCTGTGTCCCACGCCGTCCCTCGTCCATTTCGTTCACCCCTGACACCCTATCTCCACCCGTAACCCCCTCATTCCATTTCGAACGACCCCTACCACCACGGTTTAGATGGTCGACACCGGTGTCGTTTAGCTATACTTTGAAAGTGTCCGTCTTATCATTTGATTCTCGCGGTTTTTATCAAAGGAATAGATCAATCAACACTCTGATAGAAATTGGGTAAACGATTTTTATACGCTCCTTCATAGAGACAAGTAAAACACTAAATTTATTGTGTTCAAATGAGGAGGCGGTGGTTAAACACGTGCCAAATTTCCTGTCCAAGTTTATTCGAGACAATTTCCAAGTAAACAAGCGACGCTTCGCATACGAGACGAGACGCGGCACTGTTCTAAGTATTATCTTCAGGGGGGTTGGCTAGCTGGTACAAGAAGGGTGGCTAGTTAGGTCTTGTCGAACCGGCACCGTATTCCCTCCGGCCTTTGCGCCCTTCGAGAGGGTTTCAGGGCCGTACACAGTGAACCGAGGTAATTAAGTTTCCAGGATGGTAGAAGGAACACTAGCGGAGTTCGGGGGAACATGCTCTTGGCTTCTCCGTAGACACCGTCTGCTTTCAGATTAAATTCTATAAATATCGCGTTCTCCCGGAGAAGCAGCGGCGTGAATTTAGATTCGACACCGGCAACAATTCCCAACTTTCCCCGGTCGAAAGCAATTAAAGGACCGTTGTCCGATCCGGCTGAAGCTCTAATTGCCTTCGAACGATATTCTAATCGGGAAACTCATCTGTTCCCGAATCGTTTGCGGGGAAGTAAAACTCCTATCGTTCCTGTAGTATTCATTTCTCGGAGAAAGAAAGTTATCGTAGGTCAAACTTGTTCCATTAAACGCGATAAGATGAAACTGTTTATAGATATTCTGTTATTGCTTGAAAACTTCACGCTTTATAATTTTTCAAGCTAACAATATAAATAGCGAAGCAAAATTTTTCAAGTAGCCCTAACGCACGTATCTCGAGAAATTTACCGAACATCCTTGAAGGATAATCATGAAGAACGAGACACTCGGTGCTCGCGACAGAGTAGCATCGTGTTTCACGGAGGAAGTTCGAGCCCGCGGAGTCTAAGTGCGAAAACTTTCGCGCCAGCGACCATAAACTTTTATTATTGGCGTCGCTAAATCGAGCATTCTTTCTCGTCATGGAATCCAACACGTAGCAGCCGGTTAATAAACTTTTGAGTCTGAAACCTCGGTCCCGCTGTAGAAGCGGTCTCACCCTGCTGCGTCGTTTTACGAGCACTTTTTCTTTCTTTTTTTTTTTTTTTTACGGAACACGGAAACTCGCTGCTGCACCCTCTGCCTTCCTTCCTGACCCTAACACCTTTCCCTGTCCCTTTGTACTCCGCGCGACGAGATTTTCATTCGACTCGCGTTAAAAGTACCGAACAAAAAGGAATCAACCGCGCGTCGCCGACTATCCGGAGCAAAGGGGTGGATATCATCGATTTTATTGGTCGTCCTTCTTTTTTTTCTTTTTTCATTTTTACGAGGTATCTTTTTGCGACGAGCGCATATTTGTGTCGCGAT